GGAAGGAAGTAGCAGCGTTTATTGAGTGACTGAGCACTTTAGGTAGCTTTATGAAATAGGCTCAGTGCAGAGAAAAAAATAAATTGAGAAAAGCTGAGTCCTTCCTTTCTTAAAGAGATGAAGCAGACAATTAGAAAGAAAGGACTCAGAAGCTCAGAATTTAACCCTTTCATTGAACAGAAGCTCAGAAAGGCTAAGTAACTTGCTCAAGGGCACACAGCTTAATAGTGAAAGAGCTTGAACTAGGAGTTAGTGGTTCTCATCTCTATCATGGTGGCCTTTCTCCTCTGTGACAGCTGTCTCATGTAAAATACTTAGCATTTAAATAAAGCATGCCCTAGGGTTAGACAAAGAAAACCAGAGAAACTGGGCAATAAAAGAAAAGGATGATAAAGTGAATGGAATGGGGAGGGAGATATGCCTGGTTTAATAAAAGCTTTAAGGAGGAGAGTATTGGCTACTATAGGCATAAAGACAGAAATGATGATATGTCCAAAGTTGCCCAAATGAGGGGAGTCCCATAAATCATATGAAAGAATTTGGAGCCAATCAAAGAAACAGTTGGTGAAATGTGTTCAGCAAATAAAGGACAAGGGTGTCATAAGTGCTTGATTAACTTGAGTGCTTCTGAAATGAGGAGTTTTGAATAAATAAAATTTCTGATTATGTTACTTTGTTTTTTTTCCACAACCACCAACTCCCACCATGGTTGAAGTGTTTTTGAAATACGTTAGTCCATTTATGAAGACCTGAGGCACCTCAGGGTATTTCTGTTCCTGTCCTGACTCTGTCATGGACCAGCTGTTTGGCCTCAGGAGAGTCACCTTACCTCTTAGGACTTCACCATCATATGTGTAAAAAGGGTTCCAGGACATCAGAGATTCCCAGATTTTGCATGAAAGAGTCACAAGGGGACTCTTAGTAAAGAAATAAATCCCCAGGTCTTAGACCTACTAAAACATGATCCCCAGAAGAAGCCGTTGGACTATAAATCTGCTTCGTGTCACCTGGAAAGCTGGAAAGCTCTCACTATGTGATCTCTAAAGTCCCTTCCACTAATGATTACATTCCATGATTTTGCTTTCTCACTGGAATAAGCTCAACATTCCTCAAGCAACTGCATCTCTGTCTGAGGGACTGGGCTCACTGTGAATACCATATACACTGTGAAGTTCTGTAGCTTTCTATGGGGAAAGAGCAGAATAGATGAGTGCGCTGACCCCAGCTTATCCCCTTTTGAATGTAAAATTTAATAGTTGAGCTCTCTGATGTCAGCTTGTAAAATTCTACTTGCCAGAAAAAACTCTATATCCAATGTGTCCAATTCCAAGTTCTGGACGTACTACTGTGCTTCCTGGTATCAGTCTGTTCTCCCCAGTCCCCACCCTATACCCCCAAGGAGTGTCTTCTGCTTTGAACAAAAGCACTGTCTGCAAATCAAGCCAGTGCCACGGTGCTGTTTCCACTGGAGGGAGTGCCTCTCTCTAGCTGCCTGGTAGGGACTTAGTTTATATAGGATAATTATCATACGGATAGACGTGCCCAGTTTATATAGGCTAATTAGCATATAGGATAGCGTGCCCATCTAGACTTGCAATGACCTTGTTTATATAATAAAAAATGTAATATTCGACTCTTCCAGGATGTTACTGGAGGCAGATTTAACTTGGTAAGCTCTGATGAGCCAAGATTTTCCTATCGTGTGATGAATAGTGGAGCAATAGTTGATGATGGTTTTCTAAAAACGTTGTTTTTCTAAAAACAAAAGGTTATGGTCACTTACAACTTTTTGGAACCAGAGGATACAGCTCTTTGGAACCTCTACTTGAAAAATAATGCCCCATATTTGGAAATAAATGAAAAAGAATTATTTTCCATAAGATATACAATAAAAAATTAGTTGTCAGCTTAACTTGGATTCTTGACGGAAAGAGTGGTGCAGATCATTAATTATTTCACAGGTCCGAGTGGGTCAATATTTTCAAAGTGTGTCAGTAACATTAGAGGGCTATTTTAAACAACATATTATCAGAATTTAAATATAGGAGTATTGCATAAACTGGAAAGAGTTCTGTTTTCTATAATCAGCATTATTACTTGACCACTGAAACAGTCAAGTATGCCTGGTAACATCATAAGGTCGTGGAGAACTGGGTAAGATAGGCTGCTTATCTGACTACACATTTCAAGGTGGCCACATATTTGGTGTGATTTGGTGTGGTTTCAGGGACATAACAAAGGCTTTCCGTCCTCCCTCCCTGCTCGCTGCTTCCCCAACACTTCATTTATTTGTTTGATGATGTCTGATGGCCATATTCACTACTCTGGCTTAAAGGTTCACTTGCAGTTAAAATGCAAATACTTCTGGGGATGGGAAAACATTCATTAGTTCATTTAGAGAGAAAAGAGAGCACACTTTGATGGGGAGGGAAGAATGTAAGGGGCCCAGAAGATGAGGAGATGGAGAAAGACAGAGGGAGATGGAAAAAGACAGAGGGAGATGGAAAATGACAGAGAGAGATGGAAAAAGAAAGAGATGGAAAAGGACCCGAGGAGATGGAAAAAGATAAAGACCGTCTCAGCTGCAATTTCAGGTAGAACTGACTCTACTCCAGAGATGCAAATAATTTTTTGTAACCAGCTTTGCATGAGGAGTGGTGCTTTGACTTAGAGATGAGTGGGGTCTTGGTTTGATTTCTACTTCCATCTCTAGCTAGCCATGTTTACTTGGATAAGCCACTAGCCTCTCCAAGCTCTGGTTTCCTCCTCAACAAATGTTTAAGTGCTTAATATATGTCAGGTATTGTTTTAAATGAAATCATGATGTTAATAGTACCCATCTTCTATGACTGTTGTGAGAAATAAATAGTGTAATCTTAAAAAGTGCTTGCTATGTGCCTAGCACAGAGTAAGAAATTATGGAGCAAGTAGATCATAGCAATGATCCCCTAGATCTGTAAATCCCTGCACCTCTTACAAAGCACTTTCATGTCTATTTTTCCCTTAAGTGACCCTGTGGGTGAAACTACCCAGATATTCAGTGTCCCATTTTACAGGTGAAGAAACTGAATGAAGCTTGGCTCAATTCACTTGCTTGGTCGTACTTCCTACTGAAGAGGATGGGTGAGAGTTGGCCAGATACTTTGTTCTCATTATTTATCCTTATTTTATAGATGGAGAAACTCAGTAAGGCATAGAGGGATTTTGATTTTCTTTTCTGAAACTCACAGTGAAAGAAAAGTATGAATTGGCTAAATGCTTGTACTTCTTGTAAAGGGGTAAAAAGAATTATTTGACTTGAAGAAGAGGTTGTTGCAGTTTAATCTCTAATAGATAAAGGTTATTGTAAGAGTCTTTTTGCTCTCCATCTGAAGTATTAGAAAACTTGAGGAAGGAAGAGATTTACGCTGGAAGTAGAAACGATTTGACCTCACCAAAGTTTTCTTAAATTTGGAGGAGGCCTATCAGTATAGAATTTGGACTCGCCTTCACTAGCTGTATTAGAAATCTTGGATGGTCATGTAAACTGGAATCATATTCAGAGGTGGAAAAGTTAACCAAAAGTGTCTTGAAATGACCTCTTTCAAATCTGTCTCTATGAGTCAGCAAACGTTTAGATGCCTTAGTGGCAGGAGAGGAAATTTCTAACACTACATTTGTTTCAATCATTTCCAACCAAACAAATATTTGCTCAAAGAAGCAGCAAAAATGAAGTAAATATATTTCAAACATTCCCATTGGATGCTGAAACTATGTCTCATCTCCTACTGAGCAAAACTCATCCTACTGGTCAGACTATCCCAAGCCTTTCATTGGCTGCTAGGGAGAAGCATCTGTCAATGTTCAGAGACAGTAGGTCCTTCTGAAGGATTTTCAACTCTTTGCCAAACTTAAAGGCTCTGGGAATAAGAATTGCCCATAAATAAATAAGTTATTTGAGAGCATGCATGCCTTCCACATGCCTTCAAATTTTGATTCACATTAAAACCTTCCTAGAATGACATGAAAATCATTCATTATGGTGGGTAACCTTGCTGAGGTCTTGTTTTTAAATTTAGTAAAATACCATATGTGCCTGTCAACTTGGTGTGGATGCGTGAAAACGCTCATTCATCCCTGAAACACAGTCTATTGGGACATAAAATGCAAATATAACTTCTTCAACTAAGGCTAGGGCTAAGTCTAGGGGAGAAACTCGAGTAAGTGGGGATACAACTGCCTTCTATTCCATGAACATTGGCAGAGATACTGAATTCAACTAGAAAGGGTTGAGTTATTTTAATGACCTCCTGTGGTCAGGAAATCATTTGTTTTCCCCTTTGACTCTACTTATCTTTAGCTACATCATACCATTAAACATTACCAGAAAGCAAATGAATTTGGACTGAAAAAAAAAAATCAATGTCATAAAAAAAAGATGGAAGGATTTTTCTAGAATAAAATACACTAAATAAAAATAACAACCCAAGACATCTTTGACTGGATTCTGGTTTTTATCAAACAACTATAACTTTTCTGCGTGTTTGAAAATTTTCAAAATGAAAAAGTTGAAGGAAAAACCAAAAAATGTCCAGCTCCATCTCTTTAAAAAGTCATCTGGGATTATGTTTTGGTGGTAACTCAGAGAGAGGGAATCACCTTCAAACTTGTTTTATAATAAGCAAGATTACAGCTCTGTACATCTTTGGTAAAATGTTTGGCACAATGCCTTATGGGACCTCAAATAATGTTTTCTTAAAATTTAAAATAGTCTTGGGGATGTAATATAAAGCGTGGTGACTACAGTCAATGGTACTGTACTGTATGTTTAAAAGCTGCTAAGAGAGGCGATCTTAAAAGTTCTCATCACAAGAAAAAAACCTGTAACTATATGTGGTGATGGATGTTAACTAGACTTATTGTACTAATCATTTTACAATATATATCAATATAGAATCATTATGTTGTACACTTGACTAATATAATGTTGCATGTCAATTATAGCTCAATAAAAATGTTTAAAAGCAGAGAAACTTACAAGGGAAGTAGATGCAGTTCCTGGTTATGAAACATGTTCATCAGCCTGGTGCTTTAATTACAACTTCTTTGGAGTTCTTAGTGTGTTGTCTTCATTTATCCCCAATCAGGGGCTGCAGTCACCTAAATAAATCCGTAGGATTTACCCACAGAGCGTTTGTGATTGAGCAGTATGACATGTGACACCCACTTGCCCTTTAGTTGCTGATGTGTCTCCAGCTTTTCCAAGCCAAAAGCAGAGCCTAAGATTAGAGCAACATATATTTAAGGGTGTGTTTTGCAGATGCTGGTTGGGACATGAAGACAAATGTAGGAATGATTAAATGCTGCGAACGAAGTGGAAACTTCGCTGGGGAAAGAAAATATTTCTGGTTGGAGAAGTTTAAGTCAACACTGATGCATAAAACTCAGTTTTACCACTGAGTAGGTATACATTGTGTGTGTGTGTGTGTGTGTGTGTGTGTGTGTGTGTGTGTGTGTGTGTGTGTGTAGAGATACCCTCACAAAATGACCTGGAAGTTTCTCTGCAGTTCTTTTGAGAAGCGGACTTGGAGGTATCTTGGGAGTAAGGAAGATCACGGAAGACTGTGATTTCTTCAGGACCTCAGGGAGGAATGATGAAACCAAAAGGAAGAAAATCCAAGGCAGATTAATGGACTCATTCTGATATTCATGATTCAAAGTAGGTTCGAATCAGCTCTGTCCTCCCCCTTCTGTTTGCCGAACCAGCACTAAGCAGGATTCCCCAGGCTGCTCCATCACTCCCTGCGATTCGCTGTCCCGGACTTTCTCCTGCCTCACCCCGGAATCCGTGTTCAACTCTTCTCTGGAGAAGCTGTTCTTTGCCAGCCACTCGGAGAGGCTGGCTCCCCACGCGGCAGGCAGCACCCCTCTGCCCTCACACCCATCCCGGGCTGCGGCGTTGGCAGGAGGGTAAAGGAGCCACCAACTAGCGGGAAACTTCCTCGAGGGAGATGACTGGGGTTTTCGGGCTTCCCCAGCCCTTTCGCGCGGGGCCACACGGCATTCAGTAAAGTGGTGCCGCAACTATTGCAGGGTCTGAACTGCAGAGACTCGGGCCGCCCGCAGCAACGCATCCCCGGCAAGGAACGGCGCCCTTTACCGCTGCATGCGCCCAGGACGCCGCGGCCGCCAGCCCGGGGCTGCTGGCGGGCTCGGCGGGTGCAGAGACTGAGCGCCACGATGCTTTGTTTTCCTGCCGCAGGAACCCGAGACGGTCTCTTTCCTCTACACTTAACCGGCCCGCAGCAATAGCCATGGAAGTTGCGGCGACACAGGAGAGGGAACCACTTGGCGCGGCATCATTACTGGATGTTTCTTCTCTCCACACACCACTTCTTCCCTCCTTCCTGGGGTGAGTGGAATCCAGTCTGTAATAACGAAGGAACAGAATTTAAGGCTGATGGAAGGGGACTGCAGTAGCACAAAGGGTTAATGTGCTAAGTTGTTTTTCTTGGGAGGGGGCTCCCCTCCCTGCCGGCTTCCTTTCCGAACCCCCCCTCTCGCCGCCCCGCAGTCTATCCAAATACGCAGTTTAGGAGTAGAGCTTGATTTTAGGCATGTTAGGGGAGGGGGTGCTGGGATTAACTAATTAACTGATTAATTAATTTTGGTGGATTCCCCCTCCACAAACTTGTCTTTGTCCACATTCTTAGAAGGAAAAACGAAATTGGAAGTGAGAGAAGCCCCAAAGGTTAGGGAGGGGGGAGGGGGAGTGATTTAGCAGAGAGATGATCCCAAGGGCCAATGATTAGTGCAAGTCTTTAACTCGCATCAGGAACTCCAGACCCCTGATCCTACTCCCTCATTCCTATAGGTCCATCCCAAACCGCCCAGCTCCCCCCAAAATTGATGCTTTTCTGGGGGAGGTTCTCCAGGGGCCAAAATAACTTCTGACAAAAACCCTGCAAACTGTCTTGTACACAAGGGATGCTCAATAAATGTTTGTTGATTGGCTGAATGATGTACCCTAAGGCTGCATTTTGTGCCATGGGAATTTGCCTTGGGCAGTGAACTAATTCCCTGATATAGACCCAAGTGAACCAGTTTAGTCCAATTCATTTTGCAAGGGAGGTGGGGCTAGAGTCTTAGAAAATACAGTACTCAGATCTTCATTACCCAAAAGGACCCATATGACAGCTTCAGGGTCAGACTCATAGGTCCAGGGACCAGACTTGGGTGTGAATCTCCGTGTTGTGACCTTGGGTGTGTTCCTTTACCTCTCTGAGCCTTGATCTTCTCATCTGCAACACGAGGCTAAAGCTTCTTCCACATGATGTCAGGAAGATGAATGGAGAGAAATACGAGAAAGTGAAGGGGCAGTTGGTAAACACCAGTCTTGCCTTCCCATCCTCAGAGGATTCAGGAGAGAGGGTATTTTTCTTTGTGGAGACGTCTCTCCGACTCTGATGCAGGTAATAACATTGCATTGCAGTTGCTGGGCTGGCACCCTTCCGCCACTGAGCAGTGGAGGAGGAGACAGAGTGAGGCTCTGAAGGCTCTCGCAGGAACTTAGAAGCAGCTCCCTTTGGGTTCTGGAGCAGAATTCACATACACACTGGTGTGTCTCTCGGGGCATGGCTGGAAAAGCAGCAATTCTTTGTCTTATTTCCCTGTCTCATCCATCTTCTCAGCCTTTTAGTAGGGGGAAACAAAGTGTGGAAATGGAGTTCCAGAGAAGGTGACTCTGAAGCACCTGGGAAACTTGCACCTGCCTGAAGGTTTGAGAGGTCAGAATAGCACCATTAGATTAGCCTAAACAGAGTCTGCAGAGAACTCCCTGTAGGGTCAGCCTGTAGGGTCAGTGACAAAGCACTTGCCAACTCTTTTCATAGATCACAGTGGATCTCCAGGGATCTTGCCCTGGATCTCAGAGACATGGATGTGATAGTGGGGGATGCTGCTGACACAGGGTCCCCCAGAAGCCTCAAGGTGCCCTAGAGCGGCATGCATTCTGAGAGCAACCGCTCGTGTAGGCAATTAGGGCCATAGCAGGCCGTCTTGGGAATAAGGTTGACAGTCACTTTCTTAAGTAAAGTCAAGGATGATCTAACCCCACCTCATGGCACTAGACAGTAAGCCTCATGAAGGCAAGGTCCATCTCAGTCTTGTTCTTTGCCAGATCTCCAGCACCTAGCACAGTGATGGCACATAGACAGGGTTCAAGATACATGTAAAATGGACAGTGAGTGGACAGTAACATAAACTACTTCATGTCCAACACTGCTTCCTGCCGTTCATGCCTTCGTCTAGCAAGTATTTCTTGAGCATCTACTATGCGCAAGTCTCCGTTGCTAGGCATCCGAAGTAATTTGTAAACATTATTTATACTGGTACTTCGAGTAACCTATTGAAGAGCATCTCGACACCACCAGGTTCTTCGGGAGGCTGAGGTCCCACCGCAGGAAGCCCCTGTGCGGCTTCGGGGCGGGGGCGGAGGGCAGAGAGAGTCAGGGAACCGGGAACGAGCCAGGTTTAGCTTCTTTCCGAGAACATGTCTGGGGTTCCTTTGCACCTGCCCCTGCCGGGCCCTCGGGCTCCCGGGGCCGCCAGGTCTTGGCAACTCCCCTTTCCACAGGGACCGCGACGCCTGGCTCCAGCCCTCTCCGGGGCCTCCGAGCTGCGGCCCCAGCCGGGCTGCCGGTAGCTGGGGAAGGGACCAGGCGGCGCCTGGGGAGCGGGCTTGCCCGGGCGGGGAGAGCGCGGCCGACGCGGAGCGGTCCCAGAACAAAAGGCTCATGGCTGGCACCGGCCTCCTCCGAGCGCGCTGGGGACGTGGGTTCGGGGCGCAGGCGGGAGACCAAGAGCGGGAGGGAACTG